TCTTTGAAAGCCAGGGGGGCAGTCTACTCTGTCCTAGAGGGTCACTGACTCGATGGCAGTGAGTTTGGGTCTATGTGGAATGGGGGGGGGGCAGGGGCGGGAGACGCGGACACAGGGAGGGACACGACGCGACGCGGCACTGACCTCAAAGCAGATGTTCTCGCCCTCTTTGTCACAGTCCAGCCACAGCACAATGTAGTCACAGCCCCGAGCCTCCACCTACACACGGCCCCCTGTCAGAGTGTGACAGTCCCTGACGCCCACGCCCTAGCAATGCCAGCCGGGGCCCCACCCAGGACACAGCAGATCAGGGTTCAGGAGGAGTCATAACCCACCCACCCCGCCTCCAGGGGGGAGCCTCGGGTCCATGCAGAGGTGCCTCTGAAGAAAGGCCTGGTAATCCATTTCCCAGACCAGCCGTGGGGGCCGGCTGGGAGATGGACTGAGTGGAGCACAGCCAGCGCTGGGACAGAGGGTCAAAGCCCAAACCCCAAGCGGCAGGATGCGATCCCCTCCCTGGGGAACATGGCACCAGTGGGAGCCCTGGAGGCCAGCAGGGCTTGTCTGCGGGAAAGGGGCGGCGGGCTGTGCCCCGTGGGTCTGTGTGTAAAGCTACAACACAAACATGAGAGCGTCTCTCTCTAAGACGGGGTCCCGTTGGGATGGAGGAGCGGGGCTGGAGGGCTTTCATGGGCCATCAGGGGTGCGGACAGGAAGGCTGGGAGGCCACCCAGAGACTGCAGGGCAGGGGAGTACCTAGGCCATGCAGGGGCACCTCCAGAGAAGAGCCTGGCCATCCACTTCCCTGCTGCTGCAAGCCTGGGGACCCACCAGGGTGGCTCCAGGCTGCAGCTGACTGGGACTGGCCCCCAGAGGTAGGAGAGGCCCTGGCTCTGCCCCACCCACCTGCAGGAACTTCACCATGTTCAGCTTGGGGTTGGCTTCCTTCTTCTCTGTGGGCGCCTGGCTGAACAGCTCGGCAGGGTCCACTTTGTCCCACTTGTTGTACTTTCCTGCAAGCAGGGTCACATGCCACAACCTACTTCCCGACACTGGCACCCGAGGGACAGGGGGCCGACAGGGAGGCGGGCGCACCCGATAGCCGGCTGGCTGGGAGTGAGCCAGGACGGGAGCCCAGGAGGCCTCACAGCTACCCCAAGAGACAAGCTCACTTCACTCTGGAACTGGCTGTGTGCTGGGCGGACGGGGCGAGAAGCCCACCGGGCGGGAAGCCCACCCCTGGGGGCTGGCTCCCATCCTGCCGCCCATGCCTAGGCCTTCTCTTCCCACCTGGGTTTCATGCAGCCTCCCAGGCCATCAGCAAGGGGCCCCCAGCCCGTGCTTGGCAGACCCCAGGGAAGATCGGAGACTCAGCGCTGTGGCTTTCTCTTGGGCTCCATTTTTTGAAACCCGGGGACAATGAGTTGGATGCAGCGGCGTTCAAATTCTGGGCCCCCCACCTGCTAGCTTGTGCGACAGCCTGAGACCCACTGTCACGGCCCCCTGTGGGCCATGCCTGGGGTGGGGCAGAGTGGCTGAGCCCTCAGCCACCCTGAGGGGTGTTGGTGCTCACACCCCAAACATGGGGGTGTGCAACTCTCAGAGCTGGAGCCCAGGAAGGCTGTGGGCAGGAGTGCCATGACAGAGAGGGCCATGCTCTATGAGCTGCCTCCACTGGAGACTCCTAGCTCCCGGCAGACCGTTCTGGCTCGCATCCTCCCCTGGTTTCCTGTAGGCCTCCAGGGAGTAGAACTTGGAGTTCTCTTGGGGCAGGGGGCTCACCCAGGAAATCTAGGGTCATCACATGACCACAGACGGACGTCATCTTAAAGTGGACGGGCTGGCCGGCGAAGGTCCCAGTGTACTCATGGACAGAGCAGGCCCCGTTCAGCCCTTTGTGTGAAGACATGGTCCCTGGCGAGGAGAAGCTCAGAGTGGGCTGGCCTGCCCTCCTGGCCCAGAGCAGCTGCTGACCGCCTGCCCGCTCAGACATGGATGGGTCACTGGGCTGCACCCAGGGGGCTGCGATGAAGCGACCCCCACCGTTGCAAAAGCACAGGCGCTCCCTTTTCACTCAACTGCCATTGAGGACCCTCTGTGTGTGGAGTCTCATGGGGTCTGCTCCAGGACCTGGGACCCACACCCCTGTCCCGTTTCCTCTCCCCCTTTGGACCCAACTTCTCAGCCCAATGGACCAGGGCCCTTTCTCCCACTAGCCACTCAGGACCCCAGTACTCTTCCTGATCCAGCACCCCAGTGCTGGGGGGTGAGGTGGGGGGGAGTCGCCCAGGAGGGCAAGGGGCCAATGGCGAGGGCTCCGCAGCCACAGCAGACAGGCGTCCGAGGGGCAGTGGTGTGAGCGGGCAGCGGGGACCATGCGTGGCACGAGGGTGGTGTCTTCTTCCATGACCTCCTTTCCTGTCTTCGTCCACCCCTGCTGGTTCCTGTGGCTATGGCCCAGTCTGCTCACAGAGACCTGTCCTCTTGGGCGCCCTGCCCTGGCATTGCTAGGTCAGCCACGATGAGTCCCTCCCACAGTGACACATGCCAAGGTCCCCACGGGCCTGGCCTGAGTTTGCTCCGGCAGTGGAGTCCCTCTTTGGGGACAGACAGAAACAGAAACACCCTGTGAAATATGACTGACCGGGCTGGCCATCGAACCCGGGAATACAGGCTGGGGGGGGATCTGAGGGCACTGAGACCAGGAGGGCAAGAGATGCTTCTGTGTTGCTGACACCGAACAAGTTGGGCAGAGTTGTCAGACTCCGACAGACCAGGAAGAAAGGCCTGGAGGTCAACTTCCGAGACTCAGCCAGAGAGAACCCTGTGGGGTCCCAATGCTTGGCTCTGCCTGAGCTTCCACCAGGGTGGCCCTGCTCACTTACCTCGAGAGAGGATTTTGGCAATAGACTGGGCCAAGGATGGCTTTTCGGCCACCATGAGCACGGTCTTCATCTTATCTCACAGCCGCCAAGTTCCAGCTTCCAGGTGAGTGGCCAGGAGTGCCCGGAGCTGCCAATGCAGACTTCCTACGGGGAAGATACACAGCACTCAGGACCCCGAAGCATACCTGCCAAGCCCCTGCCACGGAGACAGGTGGGCAGACAGGCATATAAACCCTCAGACAGGAAAGGCCCCCGGGAATTCAGCTTCATTTGGGAGTGACAGGTGTCCCCAAAGAAGCCCTGGTAAGGCAGCAGTGAAAGCGCTAGACTGCTAACTCTGTCAGTGGTTCGAACCCACCAGCCCTGTGCTTCCATGCAGGTAGAAGACAAGTCTAGGCAGGCCAGAGAGCAGCTACCTTATCCGTTTGGTCCCAATGGCTGTGTGGGCAGGGGTACAAAGCTGACCCGAGGTCACTGGGGCCACCTCTAAATCAACAAACCAAACCCGTCACTGCTGTAAATCTTTACTGACGCAGACTGCCCCCTTTCTTCCATGGCTCAACTGGTGGGTGACCCTCCTGCTGGGCAGCCCAACACTCACCCCACGCCTCCTCTGCAGACAATACAGATGAGGGGACCCTGTGGGCAGCTCCACTCTGGGTTCTCGGGTCCCTATGAGTTAGAATCGGATTTGCGTTTTGTTTTGTTTAAGTCTCTACAGACGTATCTTTCTACAGTGGAATGGCTGGTGGGTTCGAACCGTCAGCCTTTCTGGCTGTCAGCAGAGTGCTTTAACTACAATGCCAGAGGACTCCTTCAGCAGACATGCCAGTCTTGGAGATCTTATGCAGCAGTTCTGCTCCGTCTTATGGGGTTGTTATCAGCTGGAACCTGACAGGGTTTCACTGCTATCCAGGTTTTCAGGTGCCAATTCCACCATAGTGGACAGCCTATTCCTGCTTCATAGTCTGGAAGCTCAGCTGAAATCTAGCCACTTTGGGTGACCCTGCTGGTATCTGAAATACCAGTGACATAGCTTCCAGCATCACAGCCACCCCAGTATGAGAAGCTGACAAACATTTTGAAGGCAAAGATACACCTGACCCAAACTATTTTCAGTTGCCTCCCATGCATGGGAAAGTTGGACCCGGAATAAAGACTGAAGGACTGACGCCTATGAATTCAGGTGCTAGTGACGAATACTGAAAGTATCACGGACTGCCAAAAGAACCAACAAATCGGTCTTGGAAGAAGTACAGCCAGAATGTTCATTAAAAGCAAGGATGGCAAAGATTTTATCTGACCTACTCTGGGCATGTTATCAGGAGAGATCAGCCCCTGGAGGACACTCTGCTTGGTCAAGTAGAGGGGCAGCGAAAAGAGGATGGCCTTCTAGAAGATGGACGGACGCAGTAGCTGCAACAAGAGGCTCAAACATAAAAGCAACTGTGAGGGTGGCGCAGGGCCAGGCAGTGTTTCATTCTGTTGTACGCTACCAGTGAGTCGGTGCTGACTCTGCGCATTTAACTATGACATCCACCTCTCTTTTTGCATTAATGAGGGCAAACTTTGGCGAGTCTGTTCCGTCAGTGTTTTCAGGAGCCCTGATGGTGCTCTGTATAGGTGTTCCCTGCAGGGTCGGTGGTTCACACCCACCACCCATTCCAGAAGAGAGAGAGAGGCCGTCTTCTTCCATACAGATTTACAGGCTTCGGTCACGATAAGCCTTACAAACAGGACTTCGTTCAGAGGTGGCAGTTTCCCAGTGGTGAAGCCACGATGTCATTTATCTTCCCAAATACCTCCCTGATGGAGAGGAGTTTGAGCGCAGGGGCTATTACTTAAGCACACTCCAGGGCATGCTCTTAAACGTTGACTTTATTCGTGCTCACAAGCCGACCAGCACACGAGGGGCGATCGGAGGTCCAGAACAAGTCAGACTACTGTCCGGTTACCTCTCTTCTGCAACGCCTTGGTTCTGGGTCCAGGAACCCCTGGGCTCCCTGGCCATCAAGCCCACGTGGTCCGGTCTCTAAGGTTCCCAAAGGCAGCGGAAGAAAGAGGCCACACAAGGCCCCGGGTGAGTAAGGAACTACTGCTCGTGGACTTCACCTCCTCTGTTCACAACAGTCCCCTCCCCGCTTTGTTGAAGGAGAGCTACGCGGAGGCCCCCTCGGTTTCCCGACTTGTGCCACAGCGCCCGCCCAACACAGGCAGGGCAAAGCGCAGGTCAGCCCCTCCTCCCAAGCCCCCCTCTCTCAGCAAAGACAGGGGGTTCTCCCGACAGGGAAAGGCGGCACGGATGCAAACGCCCCGTCTCCGAGCACCTGGCTGCATGGTCATCCTCACCTAAGAAGCACGCCGGGGAAAGGCCCACGCTTCCCGCCTCCCCGCGTCCCGGCCGCTGCCCACAGTGCAGACGCCGACCCGCCGCGGTGCCGCTCCGCTTCAGCTCCCCCGGGCGGACGTCCGCAACACCACTTCCGGTCCGGCCGCGCAGGCGTCCCTGCGTCTTCCGTCCGGCACCCGCAAGGCCGCGACCGTGGGTTCCGTGGTCCGCGCGTTCTGGGTGCTTCATCGGGACCCCTGCCCAGTTTTGATGCTTGACCTTGACCTCCTGGATGGGGATGGCAGGGCATCATCAGACCCTCCATCTGGATCACTTCTGGATCCGTTGAGGGCTTCCAAACCTTCCACGCCATCCTGCCCCACGGCTGTAGGTAGGGGTTTCCCAAACCCAGAGGCCTAGCAAGGGTCATCTGGCCCGTGCAATTCAAGCGCCCTACCACTGCCTGTCCGTTTGTCGTACTGTGCTGGCTTTCTGCCTTGGAAAAATTCAGCCAGAATGCTCCTTATGGAAGCGAGGAGGTGAAACTTAAGGGCACGTTACGAGAGACTGGTCCCTGGAGAAGAACAGGATGCTTGGTAAAGAGGAGAGTCCAGGAAAACGAGGAAGGCCGTCAAGGAGTTGCATTGACACCGTGGCTGCAACAATGGACTCAAATATAATGTTAATCGTGAGGATGGCGGAGGACCAGGCAGTGTTTCATTTTGTTGTGTTTGGGGTCTCTAATGAGTCCAACCAGCCAAATGGTAACTAACATAAGGTGACCAGATTTAAAGCAGGACACCATTGACGGGGGTGGGGTGGAGTTCTTGATTAAAAATTTGATCCATATGGACCAAAATAGCTTGTTGTGCATTCTTTCAAAAAAAATCGGGACTTTTAATAAATGCCAAAAATCGGGACTGTCCGCCATAAGCGGGACGTCTGGTCACCTTAAACTAACAAGAAACAATTTAAGTGCCTAGGCCACTCTCTAAGTTATGGTGTAGTGCTTATGCTTTGGGCTGCTAAACTGCAGATCAACAGTTTGAAACCATCAGCCACTGTGTGGGAGAAAGACAAGGCTTTCGTCTCCCATAGTTATAGTCTCAGAAACCCACAGAGGCGGGCAGTTCTGTACTAAATCAACTCAATGGCAGAGTTTGGCTTCTAGAGATGTTGATAGTCACCCTTTGCCTGCCTGCCTTGTAATATTGTTCCACAGTGAATGTGGGGCCTCATTGAAGTCCCCCCTGGCGGGCAAGTGCCCCTCTCTGCCATCTGTGGTTATCTGCCATGCTTGGAAAGATGTTGGACCCAATGGGGTTAACAGAAATTGCTCATTCCCACCCACCCCCAATTTCAAATGGCATAAAGAACATATCCCATACCTGCCATAACTTAGATATGCCTTGGTCCAAGTCCTCCACTCCAACCCTAACACTCCACACTAAAGTTTTCAGAGGGTTCTCAGACCTTCTACCTCATCCTTTTCTGTTCTGGTCAGCAGAGAGGTTCCCAAATCTTTCCCTAAGCCGATGGATTCCAGTCAAATGCCATTGTTGACAAACACCAGATAATAAACATGAAACTATGTTGTTGTTGTTAGGTGCTGTCCAGGCTGTCCCACTCATAGCGACCTCAGACACAACAGAACAAAACACTACCTGGTCCGGCTCACGTTCACAATTGTTTTTTATCTTTGAGCCTATTGTTGCAGCCATGGTGCCAACCCATCTCATTGAAGGCCTTTCACTTTTTTTGCAACCCCTTCACTTGACCAAGCCTAAGGCTCTTCTCCAGGGACTGGTCTCTCCTGACAGCATGCTCAAAGTACATGAGATGAAGTCTTGCCATCCATGTCTCGAACGAGCACTCTGGCTGTACTTCTTCCAAGACTGATCTGTTTGTTTGTTTTTTGGCAGTCTGTAGTACTTTCAATATACAGTGAACCCTCGCCACTTTGCGCTTCGACTTCCGCTGCTTCACTCTATCGCGGTTTTTGTGTAACAGCGCATGCTCTGTCATTACTGCCACTGATTGGCTCATACTGTACACGCTTGATGCCATAAATGATATGATAAATAATATATGATAATTGTAACGTCCAAAATGTTTTACTGTATTTTCCCTTTTTCTTTTAATAAACTGGGTAATACGAGTGTAATGGTGACTAAAGGGTGTTTTTTCATGTCCTCTATGCTCTAACTATGAAAATATTTGATTTACAAATAAGGAATCCTACTTCGCGGAATTTCATTTATCACGGTAGGGTCTAGAACCGATTAACCGAGATAAACGAGGGTTCACTGTACTTCTCCAGCACCATAGTTCAAATGCACACATTTTCTTTGATCTGCATATTCAATGCCCAACTTTCACATGCATATGAGGCAATGGAAAATACCATGGCTTGGGTCAGGCAAACCTTAGTCCTCAAAGTAACATCCTTGCTTTTCAATACTCTAAAGAAAGAGGTCTTGAAGCAACAAAGCCCACATGGAAGAAGCACACCAGCCTATGCAACCACGAGGTGTCGAAGGGATCAGGTGTAAGGCATCATCAGAACAAAAAATCTTACCATAGTGAATGATGGGGGGAGTGCGGAGTGGAGATCCAAAGCCCATTAGTAGGCCACTGGAGATCCCCTTGCAGAGGGGTCTCGGGGAGGAGATGAGCCAGTCAGGGTGTGATGTAACAATGATGAGAAATACAACTTTCCTCTAGTTCCTAAATGTTTCCTCCCCACTCCCACTACCATGACTTGAATTCGATCTTGCAAGTCTGGCTAGACTAGAGGACGTACACTGGTACAGATAGGAACTGAAAATACAGGGAATCCAGGACGGATGAGCCTTATAGGACCAGTGGTGTGAGTGGCAAAACAGGGAGGGTAAAGGGAGAATGGGTAGGAAAGAGGGAACCGATTACATGGAACTGTGTGTGACCTCCTCCCTGGGGGACAGACAACCGAAAAGTGGGTGAAGGGAGACGTCGGACAGGGCAAGATATGACAAAATACCAATTTATAAACTATCAAGGGCTCATGAGGGAGGGGGGAACAGGGAGGGAGGGGAAAAATGAGGACCTAATGTCGGAGGTTTAAGTGGAAAGAAAATGTTTTGAGAAACGATGTACAAATGCGCTTTACACAATTGATGTGTGTATGGATTGGGATAACAGTTGTATGACCCCCTAATAAAATGTTAAAAAAAAAGAAAATAAAAGAAAGAGGTCTTGCCCTTTGATGTCTTGACTGCTGCTTCTGTGAGTATTGATTGTGGGTCCAAGCAAGATGAAATCCTTGCCAACTTCAACCTTTTTCACGCTTTACCAGGATGGCACTTAATGGCGTTGTAAGGATTTTGATTTTCTTGACATTGAGTTGTAATACTTACTGAAGGCTGCAATCCTTGACCTTCAAGTGCTTCAAGTCCTCCTCACTTTCAGCCTGCAAAGTGGTGTCATCTGCCTAACGATAATAGGTCTTTTAATGTTAATATTGTTAGTAGGTCTTCCTCCAATCCTGATGCCACATTCTTTTTCTTATAAGCCAACCTCTCTGATTAGTTTCTCAGCACACAGACTGACTAAGTATGGTGAGAGGTTACAATACAACCCTGATGCACACCTTTCCTGGTTTTAAACCATGCAATGTTCCCTTGTTCTGTTTGCATAACTGCCTCTTGGATCCATGTACAAGTTCCACATGAGCACAATGAAGTGTTCTGGAATTTCCATCATTCCCAAGATTGTCCATACTTTATTGTGAGGCACAGAATCAGATACTTTTTCATAGTCAATGAAACACAAGTAAACATTTTCCTGGTACTCTCTACTTTTAGCCAAGATCCATCTGACGTTAGCAATGTTAACCTTTGTTTGATAATCTCTTCTGAATTGGGCCCGATCCCTGTCTATGTACTGTAGCAATCATTGTTGGATGATCTTCAGTAAAATTTTACTTGCATGTGATAATAGTGATATTGTTCTATAATTTGTGCATTCTGAACATACCGGCATGATGCAGGGAACCAATAGAGAGGTCTAAGGGGCTGACCCCAATCCCAACTATGTGGACAGTCCACTCTCCCCCAAGAAGAATTCAGAGGACTGCACTGAAACTACAGCTCAGGGAGAGGGACATGTCTGATCAGAGCACAAAGGAGCAAATGAAGGGGTAGGGCAAGAGAGTGGAGCACATCCTGGCCCAATGAACCCCAAGGACGATATTCTTGCTCACAGCAGCCAATGCACAGAGAGGACCATAGGACCGGTCCTATTATGAGACACATCCCTCACTGTCCCATAGTGCTATAGGGGACAACACTGGTCTTCACAGTGTGGGAATTGTGCCCGATCTGACCCTACCACACTGAGGCTAAATATTAAGGGCATGCAACAGAAGAGCAAGGGGAGCAGAGCAATGAAGTCCCCTGGGAAATACCGAAAATAGACTTTGGGGCCAGGGCATGGCACCCCATCAGACTTGACTGGAAAACACTCGTAAAGGTCCACAAACAGTCCTTGAACTATTTATAGGCATTTCTCTTTTTTTGTCATTGGTTTTTGTTGTTGCTTTGTTGCTTTCTTTTGCTCTGTCTTGTTTTTGTGCACATTATTATCTCTGCAGGTCTATCTAGATAAGATAGGTGGGATAAACAATCAGGAGGAGAAAACAACGGTTCTGGGGGACATGGGAGAGGGGGGAGTGGGGGAAAGGAAGTGGGCG